TAAAACAGACTGAGTACACCCATTATCTGTAGGGCAGAGGACGACATATCCTCAGAAGAAGAACAGATGTGTATGCGATCACATCGTCATCGTATGTTATAATATTTTATCTAAAGGCACCAATATATAGCATGTTTGCTCAGTTATATATGTAATGGATTCAGAAGCAATATATAGCATGTTCTTTGGAAAGGAAGTTATATATTTCTTTTGTGTATTGCCAGTTTTATATGGAATAGTTTGGGTTTCCAGTGGTTTCCCGTCATTTTGGACGGGCTTTTACTCTATTTGAAAATAATTATGGAATAACACAGGTGATACACGAACAGGAACGACTAAAAATATGTAAATGCATGTAAATAGTAATTTATGATTAGTACAAAACATTACAGTGGCGAAAAAATTATTGCATCGCCCAATTTTTGTACACTTTTCTTGGTTCCTTTAATTTTGTACGAGATTGTGCATTGTGGAAGTGTCAGAACTATTGTAAACTGTCATGGAAATTGTGTGGTGTAAGATGACTCCTATTTCAGTCATCCACACACACACATGTATGCATCTTTATTAATAAACCAACCGTGACAAACATATTAAGCAGATGATTAAACAAATACTTGGCATATACGGAAATGTCCTCTGAGTAAGAAAACCTAACATTAAAGATAATGCTGCTAAAGTAATTGAAAAATGTGGTCATAGAGTCTGTTTCTTGTTTTTATATTTGGCTGTGCCCCTTGTGGATTTGATAACTGATTGACGTTGCTGTGGCATAGAGTGCACGAGGGACTGAATGTAGGCAGGGGTGAGTTCATGATGCCATATGCGGATTAGGGCTTCCTGCAGTTCCAAGATGCTTCTTGCACCCTGTTACCTTCCAGCAGTTTTCGATAGACAAATCTAAGACGTCTTTTCAATACATGAAGAGTGAAATTTCCTCTTATTTCACATCTACTGCATAGAGTGCAGGAATATTACCAACCATTTTTACTTGTGGCCTGGAACAGTGTCATCTTGGAATGGCACTGGTCTGCTCCACTGAGGTGATCACGAATTGTTAGTTTTAAATGGGACTTGAGGATCTCGATGTACTTGTCGGCATTAACAGTGACTTTCACAAAATGCAGGCATCCCACAACCTGGCCAGAGATTCATCCCCATATCAACTGACCCTGCAGATGCTTCACAGTTGCATTTAATCACGCTAGATGAAACTCTCCTCCACATCAACACTGTACAAAGTACTTCCCATGAGACCCGTACAAGTTGAACTTTGATTCAACTGAGAAGATCACTTTGTTCCACATTATTTCAGTCGAGTCAGTCTGCACTTTGACCAAGTTGAGGCGTTTCTTTCTTGACCATCTTGCTGAAAGACTGCCTGAACACAGGCGAGACTGGCCCGTGCAAGCGGTGCCAGTGACCCCTGAAGTTTCCTGCCATGTTCTTTTGAGATCTATGGACGACATTCGCGGTTCTGCAGGCTCATGCGTTTTAGAACAAGATCACCAGCTGCTGTGGAAGTTTTCTTCCGATCCTTCTCATTCCACCACTCCATACAGCCAGTCTATCTATATTTCTGCAAACACCAGCTTACAGTAAACTGATTAAATTTAATTCTTCTACCAATCTGCTTTGTCGAAAGTTCCTCTTTGCTCAAAGAAAAATGACTGCTTTTTTCCCCCCTGGAGTTAACTTGCAACCCTAGGCCATGGTAGCATCACACGCTCATTGTAGCAGATAGGCTTCTAAACGCACTCATAGTAAGAACCTATATTTATAGGCAATAAAAAAGGCCGATAGAACACCCAGACAGCTTGTAAAGCTGCTGATGTAATAATTAAACAGTACTGCAACATACATGAAACATAATTACACCTACATGCATTGGGGCTTCAAAACAGACAATGATTCCAAAGAAAGGTGTGAAAAAAATGGGTAATGCAATAAATTTTTCCATCACCGTATTACAGAAAACGCAAAAGAATAGCAAATAAGGTGTAGAATACAATAGAATTTTGTTATTTTGTATGTGCTTTAAAAACAGCACTACACCTTGTTTTATACTACAAGTTTATCAGTATAAGGTTGCTCAATATTGTTCCTGTGTTACTCCCCATAAATGAACCAAGAAACCTGTTTCCAGTTTGACCTTCTTAGTTGTTATGCAAGCTCATCCAAAGTTTTGGGATCCCTAACAGTTAAGATATTTAATAATAAACCAATCCTGGTTTAAGTCCACTGATAAATATACTTACCTTTATATGCGAGTTGTCTTATACGTAAAGGTTCATTACATGCTCATCAAGAAACATGCGCGTGTAATTAACCAATAACTAGAAGAAAATTTAAAATGTTCGCACTGGCAAACAGGAACTGCATATAAAGGAAAGTTTACAGATCAATAGACCTAAATCTGAATCGAATGAACAAGACAGTGCAGTTACTCTATTATTAGGCCCATACAGATTTTATAATATTCATATTGAGACTTTGTGTAGGCCCGGCATGGTTAGGGCGCTCGACTCGCAAGCTGCGGGTCGCGGGTTCGAATCCCCGTCACACCAAACATGTTCGCCCTTTCAGCTGT